CGATATTTGTCGGTCAAATTCTCAATTTTATTTGGATCTATTTGTATCACTCTATTTATCGATGCAAATCTCTCGATGTGTGTGAAATCGGTAGAAAACTTCTATTTTTTATGATTGTGTGCCGGTATAAATCGATGTAATCTGTCATTATAAAAATAAGTTCTGAATTGAACTCATGCATGGTGTACTAGGTAAGACAACTGTTGGAAAATATAAAAAGGTACATTTTCTTAATGAGAGGTTAATGAGGGCAGGACCGGTCTAATCCTTGAATCTGATGGTTAAGTGTGGCTCCGTTCTCAAACGTTTGCATGGCCCTGCAAGCGGACTATGACGCGGCGAAAAATACTGGTCCGCCTCTATTTAGACGTGTGTTAAGAGTGGGCAGGTTGAGAAATAAATTTAAATATCCCAGGGATAAGTGTCTTTCTGCCTGTTTGTTGTTTTGTCGTCACCCCATCTATTACGTTTACAATGTAATCTGTCCACTTGCCTTCTTGCAAGGAATTTCATTACCTATTACAGAAACCATTGGTGTGAAATGAACTTCTCTTCTTCGTAAAGTAGGAATCGTTTTCCTGTCCATTTGCTTGACTTCAGTGTCTTTCAGTCTCTCGGTTTTATCGTTAAAATAACGGGATTAGTGAATAAGTGAATATGGCTGTGTTGTGGGTGGTGCGCCGTGTAGTCTGGTAGAAGATTACCGACGTTTCAGAAGTGCTTACAACCCTCCATCATCATGATGGCGATGTATAAGTTTGTGGGGTTTTGGAGTAATGAAATGCTAGCCCGATTTCTAATGCGATTATAAAAAAAAAGTCATATATATATATGGATAACTTCGTTGCATTTCCCTGTTACAACACATTAAAAGCTCTTAGATGGAATAATTGTTAGTCAGCTGGAGAAATTGCTCACCAGTCGATGCGGGGGGGAGGGAGACAAAAAAGAAAACGGACTTCAGTTTTCGACGAAGTACAGAATATTTTTAGAACGGCTAACAGAATTATTACTTCACAGTTAAACTGCTTGCTTCGTGGTACTTGAACATTTGGTGTTATGGCAACTCGCCCGCAGACTAACGTATACAAGCGTGTTGCGAAATAATGTTCCCACTGGGCAAGCGAGCTGTCGTGTGTCCATGTTTAGGTGTTCGAATTTTAATTGGCATTTATCGTGGGATACGTTTTTTTGTAAGTATTTTGAAGATTTTTCTCAAAAAGGGCACCTAGAAGATTTGCCGTAGACTGGTTTAGTAAAGTTGTCTTAGAGATCCTCTAATCGGAAACCAAAATCCGGCCGTTTATTATACAAACTCATAGCCACTGAACCAACGCGTGCTGAGTCATTACTTCTGCAGATTTTTTACAGTGGAGATAACTCAGATTTGCGACTGGACATTGAGACGGCAATTCTGTTACAACTGCTTGAATTCGCAGCCTCGATACAGAATAAACTTTATTCGCATGTGCATACTGTTGATTTCAGGCGTGTTCAGAAACAAATTAGTAAGTTATTTTGTAGTGTATTTTCAGTTGCTTTGCTCATCTCAACGGTTCGAGGGTACGAATAGGATTATTATTAGGTGTGACGTCTTTTTAACCTTCGCAGTCTGCATGAAGACTGTTAAGGACTTGTTCCTGTATGTGGTCAGCATTATTTCCTTTTGTGGGTGCAATTGCCTAATATCATGTTTAGAGCCAATCGCAAACTGTCCCCTGACACTTCCCTCCTTTGTGAGGCAGAGATTATTAATCGTTCTGAAGTAGCAGCTACGTTATTGAGTAAATGGCGAGAAATAGATTGTTTACTACGAGTTATATTCGTATTTTAGAATGAGGCGTGAATTATATGGAATTATGTGTAGGTATCAGACTTGAGACCTGTATTAATGTTGTCAATTTTAAGTTTATTTTAACGGGCTGTTCTCTAGTATTCTCATAAGGAGGAGTTGGGTTGTCAATTATGGACGAAGTAGTAGCTTGAGGTAGGAATTTCAGTCCCTGTACTCACTGTCACTTTTCGCTACAGTCCTTAATCGTTTCCCGTACGGAGAACTTACAAAGATTCATGAGAAAGAGTCAAACTTGGCAGGATTTCCCATACACATCGCCGTCGGTCTAATCAGCGGATTGAAGTTGAAGTAGCCTAAGAAGTGTTCAGTCACTGTCTTAAGATTCCCTATTGGTACTGGTGAATGTATAAATGTTACTGTTTCCTAGCTGTTGGCACAGTGGCATATATATTAAGCCACCTTCACTGGGATGTCTCTATTGCCCGAAATTTCTTCAAAAATCCTCAGGTTTTTCAGATCATTCATACGAATTATACGTCAAATTATGAAAGAAAACTTAATAACCAAACATATTTAACGCTTTCATGGCTGAAATCAGAGGTTGTTAACCCTGTTGTTAGTAGTACCTGATATCAGAAAATACGTTTTGTTGGTGTCGGTATTTGGCCTCATGTAATATAATTTTAATAAATTGCAATGTTGTTTTAAGAAATTGGCCTCATTTGTAACCTTGCTGCCCACAAGTCGATGACAAACTGTGAATGTGGCCCCAGATCTGGAAGGGGTTGTAAACCCATGGCACAAAGGCTGATATTTATAATTTATTTCAGAAAATCCCCCAGGTTTAGGAGAGTGAGGCTGATGATCTCTTGACCGCAGTAGGATCTCGTTCGCCCTCTGCTCCGTGGAAAAGAAGGTCGCCTGTTGCAGAGCGTGGCAGCATGTGGGACATACTCGTAGAATTATGCTTCTTGCGAGCGAAAATTGTTTTGTTTGGACCAGAAACAGGGGAGATACAAAGAATCGCGCTTCGTCTTTGTCACCGCCTACCACAGGGCCCGTTGGCCGAGATGTCAGAGCGCTGACAGGGCTTTGTAGGGCTTCGTGCTTATCACACTGTCGTCTGTCAGGTGTAGCCATGTGGTACGTATTTATTAAGGTCTTCGTTGCTTCGAAACTTTACTCCAGACTTTCATCTCGTGCCGAATTGCATTACAAGAGTTCTTCCTTTGAAGCTGGTAGTCGGTCAGCTAGTCAGATTCTCCGCTTTGTATGGGACACAAAGGTTGTTTACCGTGTTCACAAGGTTCCGCCACTGGATCCTGAGCCAGATTAATCCACTCCACATGTTCAACCCATTCTGCCTTAAGTTTCACAGAAATATTAATTTCGCATTTTCCCTTTGGTCTCCCAAGTGCTATTTTCCTTCAGATTTTCCGACCAGTTCTCTTAATATTCATTATACGTAACATACTCTCATCTACTCTGGGGTCTCCCAAGTGTTTTTTCCATCAGGTTTTTCGACTAATTGTCTCAAGATCCATTTTAGTATTATCCTCCCATCTTCCTCCGGGTGTCCAAACTGGTCCTAGCCCATCTCACTCTATGTGGTGAAGAGTACAAATTATGAAGCTCCTAATTATGCAGTTTTCTCAGTCTTTCTAGATATTTCTCTCTCTTATATCCAAATATTCTAGTACAGGTCTTGAGCTGAAACCATTGTTCCGTCGTGGTTGCAGCTCCGCTGTATGGATGGGTAGACCTAGGTGAGTTCATTTGTAGGTGGCTGCATGGGTAGAACGGTGGGTGGATGAATAGATGGATTGATGGGTTGACGGGTTGACGGATAGGTGAGCCCGTGGACAGCTTATACGTGGGTAAGACACCATGTGCTGAGTGTATTATGCTTTCCATTCAGAGGCGTGGCTGTAAGTTATGCTGAATATCCAATTTATAGAGCTACCCCATTAATTAGTAGCCGCCTTGCCATTTGTCACTCATTTTATTTATTGCAGTTAGAAGTCCTCTATTTATTTTTGTTAGATTGTAGACATGCGTTTGTCTTTGTACATTTTAATTTTTAGACTACCAGCTTGGATACACAATTTAAAACGTTATAAATTTTCATTTAGAATTTGGGTTTCTTTCTTACGTGTACATCAGTTTTATAATATGTATCGACATGTTTAGACTTTTATTTTAGTGAATTGTTGTTGGTACAAAATTTATTAAAAAATTAATGGATCCAGCTACACCTGCCCCCTCCATAAAATCATTAAAATACGCAAGTAATTCTTTGTGCCACCAATTTTTATAACAAATGTGATTAATGTACAAGAAATCCATCCAATGTTGGTTGGTTGCTTGGTCAGTCATTAATACTGACCTACATCAAATACTACGTCTCTGTATCTCATTCAAGGATTTTTATCTTCATAGAAGATTGTACATTCCAGCAGGGAGTGTTATTAAACGTCTGTTTCAACAAGACCTGTTCCACCAGTTAGGGCGAGACTGGTGTTTTGACTTCGTGACTATCACAATAGTACCATACTTATGCACTCAGTATGTTAACGATATGAAGTAAGTTTTCGATAATTAATATCGAAAATGCGAGACTTTCTTTCCATGTTACTCCTTAATCAAAATTAAAATGTACAAATCAGATAAATCAAACGAATTATGGCTTTCCACAGCTGTTTCTTCGCCAGGTAAGCACGTACGGTTTATTGCATATAGCAGTCAAGTATTTAAGACCAATTACCACGTAGCGAGGCAGCTGACGTAAAGTCGCATTTTTTATTATTTAAATAAAAATTGATATCAATTTTTTTCAGTTATAACCTGAATTTAGCGATAAGTAAGAATGGTAAGTGTTTAATTCTTGGAATGAAGTAACTTTCATTGTCAGGTACGAAGTTATTATAATGTGTACTGTTATCAGTTACATTGTTTATAGTGTTTCTTGAGATTGCGTGTAGGACTAATTTAATAACAGGCCTCCATACCTAGTTACAAGTATTAAATAACAGCTAAGGACGTGTGGTACAAGAAATAAGTGTGAATGAAAGTATTATTTTGGTCTTATCCATTTTTACAGAAACCACGACATTTCGGAAGTTAGATTTTTCTGTCTCCACGTGACCAGTGCGAGGTCAAACTCTGGTAGAGCTTGTCTCAACCTTGATGCTTTGTTTTGTTTCAGAGTGCTACTCAGGACCTGTTTGAGCTGCTGGAGAGAGTTCAGAGCAGCCGGCTTGACGACCAGAGGTGTGTCCTGCCCCCGTACTTCACACAGGTAGGCTACCCACCAATCACTGTCTGTCCACCAGAAGATGTGTTCAGTTTGCCGTCTACAGGTCGAGTCTGCGCTGCAGTTTTGAACGAAACCACGTGAAGAAGTTTATAGTTGCCGAACCGGTCAAATTTATCTTTTTCTGGAACTCGAAGGTTGATTAGCGTGTTCATAATAAGCCGCTATTTAACCTTATCCAGAGCGAGCCGACTCTAATCCACGAGACTGCAGACTTTCTTTTGGGAAATATTTGCGCTCCTAATTTGTTTGTTTCTTTGATTCGGTTGCGTCTTCCCAGAACTTAATATCCGTGTATTTAGTGGCATTTTAAATGCGTAGGTCCTATATGTTTAATTATAAATAACAGGATTACTATGAATCACTGGATCTGAAGGACCTGTAAATAAGCTATGAAGACCTGTATTACTATGAATCACTGGATCTGAAGGACTGTAAATAAGCTATCAAGACCTGTGATCAAAATTAAAATGTACAAATCAGATAAATCAAACGAATTATGGCTTTCCACAGCTGTTTCTTCGCCAGGTAAGCACGTACGGTTTATTGCATATAGCAGTCAAGTATTTAAGACCAATTACCACGTAGCGAGGCAGCTGACGTAAAGTCGCATTTTTTATTATTTAAATAAAAATTGATATCAATTTTTTTCAGTTATAACCTGAATTTAGCGATAAGTAAGAATGGTAAGTGTTTAATTCTTGGAATGAAGTAACTTTCATTGTCAGGTACGAAGTTATTATAATGTGTACTGTTATCAGTTACATTGTTTATAGTGTTTCTTGAGATTGCGTGTAGGACTAATTTAATAACAGGCCTCCATACCTAGTTACAAGTATTAAATAACAGCTAAGGACGTGTGGTACAAGAAATAAGTGTGAATGAAAGTATTATTTTGGTCTTATCCATTTTTACAGAAACCACGACATTTCGGAAGTTAGATTTTTCTGTCTCCACGTGACCAGTGCGAGGTCAAACTCTGGTAGAGCTTGTCTCAACCTTGATGCTTTGTTTTGTTTCAGAGTGCTACTCAGGACCTGTTTGAGCTGCTGGAGAGAGTTCAGAGCAGCCGGCTTGACGACCAGAGGTGTGTCCTGCCCCCGTACTTCACACAGGTAGGCTACCCACCAATCACTGTCTGTCCACCAGAAGATGTGTTCAGTTTGCCGTCTACAGGTCGAGTCTGCGCTGCAGTTTTGAACGAAACCACGTGAAGAAGTTTATAGTTGCCGAACCGGTCAAATTTATCTTTTTCTGGAACTCGAAGGTTGATTAGCGTGTTCATAATAAGCCGCTATTTAACCTTATCCAGAGCGAGCCGACTCTAATCCACGAGACTGCAGACTTTCTTTTGGGAAATATTTGCGCTCCTAATTTGTTTGTTTCTTTGATTCGGTTGCGTCTTCCCAGAACTTAATATCCGTGTATTTAGTGGCATTTTAAATGCGTAGGTCCTATATGTTTAATTATAAATAACAGGATTACTATGAATCACTGGATCTGAAGGACCTGTAAATAAGCTATGAAGACCTGTATGAAGGCACTAGTCATTATTTTACAGAAGAAATTGAAGAAAATTAAAACAAGCAAATAAGAATGTAGCGTGTCTACCCGCCGAGATTCGAACAGGCCCTCACGAGTACGCGGCAGTATTAGTAACCACTGGTCAACTTTACAACTTCATATTCACCTCTTAACTGCGTAATTAGAAGCTTGTTATTACATTAGTGCGTTACTGTCAAGTGCGCTTGTCAGCTGTCAAAAGCATATTATCATATCGTTAGATGCGCATTGATGCTACCAGAGGATCCGTAGGAAAGCATTAGAAAGAAGACAATCAGTGGATGATGACGTTGCTTCAATTTAGTTCTGTCATCATTCGCAGAATGACATGTGTTGCTCGTATTATATTTTTTTTTCGTGTTTTCTCTGCCTGGAGTATTAAGCTCACAGGTGATAAGATGAGCGCTTCTAAAGTTAATTAAAGCTATCTATTCAGCTGGAAGATATGTCAGAAGAGAGCGAAAGAGCATTTGCGGAAGTTACTCTGATGATGGATGAGGGATGAAACTAAAGTGATAGGTGAAACAAATGGATGGAGGGGGGGGGGGGGGGGGGGTTGCTGTCCTTTGTTCAGCTGATAGTGTCCCATGGCTCACAACTGACTGTCGGGAAGGCAGAAAACGGACAAGCCCGGAGGCAATGCCATGTTCTTTTTCCTTCTTCTTCTTCTTCCTTAATCCAAAGCTTAAGCAGTTGCCTGTTCCGGCCTCAGTTATGGATCACTCCATTCGTATTATAACGTTAATATTTAGTGACGCGATGCCATAGGGTTGCTCTCCTCTGGCTTCTCAACCAACCGTCCGAGTCTGTGCCTAATTACCTCGGGCAAGTCCCTTCATATTTATAACCTCTGGAGAGGGGATTTCCCAGAATTTAGTCCCTGTTGGTCCACGTGTCATGGTTCAATATATTCGGCCCATCCCATCGTAAAGGTGGGATTCCACGTGCTGCCACCTAGGGGACGGACCGCATAGCAGTTACAAAGACCGGCCGGGTGGTTTACTGATGTTTAAATTAAACAGAAAGGACTTAAGTCGGAGTCACTTAAAGACAAGCATGTTAAATAAGTTACTCCATGGGACAGATTCTTCTCGATAAGCTGATTATCGCTTAGGTAGTCAAAATATTTCCCGCCTTGTATACAGTCCGAAATTTCATTAGGCTTCCCAAGAGCCCTTTTATTAAGTATTCCTTTAACATTTAGTAATTTATGAGGCGGTGAGTATGTTTCAGAAAACACACACTCACAGTGATGTAATGTTGTGAACGTCTGCTTTAAGCTGTTAAAACACAGACGAGTTTCAAGTTGTGTGCATACATTTTCATGTGCCAGAAGGAAATCTGAATGGATGCAACTTTCTACTGGTGTGAATCTCCTTATGTAAGCACCTCGTCTTCCCATCGCCTTGCGAGTCCGAAGTTCCCACGAATGCTGGACTGGACAGCGTCAAGCCCGCCTATCACTTGTCAATTAAGCGCCTCAGGGTAATTGGGTAATTGGCATCTCTAAAAGGACCACAGTGAAATAATGAGCCTGTGATACGTTCGTCTTTTGACTAATTGAAAGTTGTCGTTTGAATGCTGAGTTTCTGTTTGTCATCAAACTCAGTGCTGTAGGATCCTCGCTGGAAAATTCTAGTTGTCCAGCTGACCAAGAAATTCTGTGCTTTTAATGAACAAATGCTTATTTTTACCTTCAGAATCTATATTGAATCAATTCAGTCCATCTGACAATTTCACGACCTGTGTTTCTTCAATTCCATACCCAACTACGTCTAGTTTTCCTACGTGTCTTCTTCTCTTGAGGTGCTGCTACCGAATTTTTCTTATGAATGCTACATATCTTGTCCATCTATCTTTTCTGTCATATTCTCAATATTAGGTGAAGTGTAAAAGAAAACGCTGAATTTATAACATTGTTTATGTAGGGTAAATTGAGTACCGTTTAAAATTCTTTCATGTGTTATTACTGTGGAAGTAATGAATCTATAATTCCAAATGTAAGTTCTGCTTAACTGAAAATATAAATAAAATATGACAAGTTCTTATCCCTTCTGGCTCCCGTGTTACAACACAATTTTCTGTCAATATGAATTTCAGTGCGGTGGTGAGGAATGAATCCGTAAAACAAGACAGATCTGAATTGCCTTTGCTCGGTTGAGGGGACACTGCTGTGCGTGTTACCCAGGCCTTGTGTTTAATTATGACAGCTGACAGTGTCGTAAAGTTGCCGACCCTGATAAACCCACGCGCCTCCTCCTCGAGATTGGCAGCAAGGACAAACTTAAGAGCAAGAATTTGCCTAAGAGTTTCGAGAGTTTATCCAGAAAGACATCTGTCGCTCTACAGTCCTTCGTCTCCGGTCAACTGAAGTGCTGGTGAAGATTGTTCGTAATGTAAGATAAGAGTTTTGTCTTCCTCATGTCTGATGGTGCCAAACGTCTTGTTGTGGCGGTCAGAACTCCAGATTCATATCTGGAAGGAACCGGACTTGAACCTTGGTGCGCAGACAGTCTGTCTGGTAGAGGATTTTTCGTTGTTGTCCTCAGTAACTCCATGGAGATTCCGAAACCTGAAAAAAAACTATATGATCACTTATTCCATGTTTTTGCAATTTCAGAATTGTAATTAAATAGCATGTCAAATCCTCTGCGCATTCAGTTTACACGAACTACGACAAGAAATTGTGCATAATTTGTATTGTATTCAACCAGACCGCAAAATAATTCTGTAAGTCATGATTATTATTTTTGGACACATTGAGAAATTCAGAATTCCCAATCCAAAGGATTTTCACGTGGCGAATATTGAACCAATTAGCACTAGCGACAGCCGTCTTCATATTCGCCGCCGTGAAAACCTCAGATCAAATTTTTTTTAAAAAAAATATAGCAATGCGAAGTTGTTGAAGCCCCTTATGAAACGCAGTCCCTAATATGAGTCTACATTTACGTCATATGAACTCGAGTTGGAGATATGCGAGAAAGAACTTTTTCTTAACAGATTAAAAACTTGGCTTAGCAAAAACAAGGAGAATAAAAACGTTGTGCACCATACAGGCTGGCAGTATTCCCATACTTCGTACAATATTGCTGAGCTGTACCTATACCTACTGCACTAGGCCATCATTTATCTCTGAACTACATATAGAAGATCGTATCGCAACGTAAGAAATTCGAGATGGAGTAGTAAAAGCTTTGTGTAGGCAAATGGGTCGGTCTTGAGTTATCTATCGTGCTTGCTGCTACGTGGTGACTTCCTACGACTAACTGTAAAGGCGTGTGGCAAACGAACGTATCTTGAGGATGAATTTAGACGCGGACAAGATACCGAGTGTGACAAGTGGAAAATCTAGTTCTCAGTGAGCCGACAGTTGTAACAAAGACTTGCGAAATTCTGAACGCCACTTAACTTATCACAAACGACTACAGAACACTGTCCCAGTTTTAATGAACAACTTTAACTGCGCCGCTCACTGCGTGTCTGCCTACTAACATTTTTGATAACCTGGCTGCCTGATGTGTCCTCGCCAAAATGAATCACTACTGCGTATAAAATTAACGAAAATAGTTTCAAAGTTTATTTGCTGTAGGCTGTAAGAGAAAACGGTTCTTGGATTTACTGAAATTAGCATCAAATTCGGGGAATGCTTCCTACCACGCACTTCAGAGTCTCTTTTAATCCTGGTTGCTATCTGAAAACCTGAACATTAAAATGTACAATACTATAATTCTATCTGCTGTTTTGTATGGGTACGAAATTTGGTCTGTCGCATTAAGGAAAGGACGCAGCTTGAGGCTGTTTGACGTCAGGGGTGAACAAACAGAATTCAAATGACTGAAAGTGTCGAGAAAATTTTCGTGGGACTGGTACGGAGTTTCGTAATTATGCTATGGGCGGGCCATGTAGCACGAACTGGACTTGTGTGTCTGCGGTGACGGGATGTTTTGAAAACTTTAATGAACCTTCGGGTTATATAAATGGCGGGGAATTTATAGACTGACTGACAGACTGTCAGTTTCTCAAGAAGGAATTCGCTCCATTTAGTTACTCAGATATTCACATTGCTTAGGGTTGTGCAAAGTCTGGTTTGTGAGCCACATGTGTTCTTAAACGAGTTTCATCCCAACCCCAAATTCGGCTTTGTAGGGTCTACTAATTTTATTCACCACTTTACATGGACAGGAAATAATGAACGACGAAAATTAAATGTTCTCCCAGTATTAAATTGAATCGAAATCAGTTGAGAGGAAACAAACGGATTCTATGTTTATTTTGTGGACTTTGTCAAAGAAGAGGCACATGATTGGCCAGCTTCTATCTGTATGTCAGCTATGGTAAGTAAACCTGAGGTATGGTCTAGAATTGCTCCCGTATCTCTGGTTTAACCGTTAAATGAACGTCTGTGGGACAATGAAGTGTTTCAAACGCGCTTGGGCACTTGGCTTTAGGTTGTATATTACTGTGTGCTCTCACTTTGTAGAAACCGTTCCTGCTGTTTAGAATTGCATATTTTATCGCTCATAAATGTTGTCTTGTGGTTATATTGTCGGGTTGCACAATGCGTTAACGAGGTTAAGATGCTGAAAGGAGATACCGCGATTTCTAAACCGCGTGTCTTTTACGGTGCTTGTAACACCAGTAGCTACAT